AAAAAAATAAATAGGAAAGATAGGTTATTGAATCGAATTCAAGAAGGAAAAATCATGCAAAAACAGAAAAAAAAAAACAATCGCTGTCACCCCACTTACCCTCCTCGTCGCTGCCGACCATCTGGTAGCGGTCGAAGCCGCTGAGGTTGCGGTGCGGGCCGAGGCCGAAGTCGTCCTTGGTCCACTGCAGCGTGCCCTTCTTGTTCTCGACGCGGCACGGCAGCGTGACGCGGGTGCCCTCGATGGCCACCTGGTCCTGCGGCTCCATCGCGAAGTACTGCTCCGTCTTCTCGCCCGACTCGGCGATGTGGCCGTCGGGCTCCGGGTCCGGCGCGGCGCGCGGGCCCGGCTCGGGCGCGGCCATGGCGCCCGTCAGCAGAGAGCCGTGGGGCGGCGACGCCAGCCCGGCCAGCACCAGCAGCAGCACGGCCGTCAGCATCCCTGCGGCAAGGACAAGCGGGGCATCAACCAACTATTCCGCTACGCATTGCCAAAATTACGAGCAAAATTATCTTCGTAAATTTACAACATATTCTGTATTTTCGATTTACAAAATATTTTTTTTTTAAGTTACAACGTAGTTTCTATTGTAACGTAACGTAAGTTATTTTACGAAAGCTCGTTTTTGCCCGTCAATAAATTCCAAGTCGACATGTCGACGTGCTTGCAATTTTACAATTTCAAATGATGATTGTGATTGTACTTTTACAACACGCATCATGTAAAATTTTCCTGCGCACAAACCCTTACACGCAGGTTTTTCTCAGAGCAAAAGCGCGACCTGCACGCGGGCGGGCGTTTCTGGCGGTGCGCTGATAAGGAGTATGGCAACAATAAACGGTAGGCGCTGAGGTTACGCCCCAGCGACGTGACGACACACACACACACACACACACACAGAGCTATTTTTTTCATACAAGGCGGAAACGTTTCCCGTGAGCGTTACACGCGCTCGCACACACACACGACAACCATTCCGATCCACGCCGACTATAGTATAGCTTTTGGAGGGAGGCCCTATATGTGTAATAGTGTGTGTGTGTGACTGTGTGTGTGTGTGTGCGTCCCCAGTCGATGGCGTCACGTCCAACCCCGTGATGGTGATGATGGAGGCCCACGTGACTGGAGCCGCGACGCGACGTGACGGGGAGCTCCCCTCGTCACACACACACACACACACACACACAACGCGCGCGCGCTCACGCTCCTGAGCCGCTCCAGGCTGATGTGCATATCGTATATAGCGCGCCGGCCGGCAGTCGACCGGGTCAGTGAGTCAGTCAGGTAGGGGTATGGGGGGAGGGGGGGATGCTCGATGCTCGTGTGCTCGCCGTGGAACCACTTCGCGAGGTACACTCAGTGCATGAATAAATGGCGACGGCAACGACGAGCGTCGACATTTTCGACCCCACCCCACGACGAGGTCAGCCCCGGTGTCAGACCCCACCCCCACCCTCCTCCTACCCTTGACGTGCGCCGAGCGATCATCCACAAAGCGCAGTATGGGTAAACCCATGCCAAACGCACCCCCTTAAAAAATCACTTTGGCGCAACTTGGTACAAACGTCCCTTGAGTGGTCCGACGACTGACTACCTGCAAAAGCGTTCTGACTTGACCTGAGGGACAAAGATTTCAGTGCGCACTCTTCCCTATCTCGTTAGCGCCATGTTCCATCGTTTTCCACACCCTCAACCCCCAACGGTGTATGAGGTAAAAACTACCCCTCCTCCGAGTGAAACTGTCCATTTGGCGAAATTATTTACGCAGCGTACCATAATCTCGATTTTTACGTTGAAAATTCGGTCAAGCATGATACCTTTGATTTTCTTGGGAACGGTCTCATTGAAAAGCCTATTCAATTTCCTGTCAGACCCCACCTTAGGGGTATCATGGGCAGACACCTACGAACGACGCTATAGGGCCGAACGCCGAACGCAAGCCGCCCACGAGCTGGTCCGGCCACCAAGTTTTGTCGTCAAAGTGAATTTTTTGCGGGAGGCACGTTTGGCTTGGACTGACCCAGTTGTTTGGCTTGTCTCTGACTCATTCGACGATACGGGAGCTCAGCGCCTGCGAGACTCTGGGTAGGCCATCCCGCAATACACGCGTGCGCTGCAGGCACGATGTTGCCTACCCACCAGGCGCTATGAAACCCGCTAGCTGCGCTTGGCAAGTTGGCTGCAGTGCTCACAAGGATGATCACTTGTTCGCTGCGTAATCTCAATTATTGCAAATACACTCGGCAGCCCTGTGACCTTTCTCGTAGCCGGCAAGCAGATATTCACTCGCCCCCCCCCCCC